TTACCTAGAGAATACTGGTGGCAGAGTTGACCAGAAACCCTTACCTAGAGAAGACAGGTGGCAGAGTTAACCAGAAACCCTTCACTAGATAAGATGGGTGGCAGAATGGACCAGAAATTCTTGGCTAGAGAAGAGGAATAGCAGAGTGGACAAGAAACCCTGGGCTAGAAATGATTGGTGGTAGAGTGGAACAGAAATTCTTGGCTAGAGAAGATAGTTGGCAGTTGGACCAGAAACCCTTGGCTAGAGAAGATTGGCACTATAGAGTGGATCAGAAATGTTTGGCTAGAGATGGTGGTAGATTGGACCAGAAACCCTTGTCTAGAGAAATGGGAAGCAGAGCAAGGTGTTCTGGTGGTTATCACAAATTGTAAAATTCTGCTTCTAATTAATTATATGTTGTTCAGATTTTTCAGAGAATTCCTTCACTGCATTAACAAACATTAAGATTTGTCAGTTATGCTGCCAAGTTATGAGTCTTTGGTGTGAGGGCAATCTGTAATTTTGTGACCTGATAGGGGAATAAACTTGAAGGACCTCAATTTTATGGTTGAAGATATAAATGTCCATTGTGAATACTAACATTGCATGTTGACATATTTCTACACTTGATCTTTCAGCTCTCATTTGAACAAACAATAAATCAGGTAGAGGCATTAACTGAGGATTAATATCATGCAATGAACTTGCATTCCCATCTATGGAGTAATCTTCTTAGATCCATACTATTTGAGGATGCATTAGCAACAGTCATGCACGACTTCAAGGCAATGAGCCGTCTTTTTAGAAGTGTATGATAATTCTAACTGATCATAAATTAATGCACCGTAGGAGCCATTTAGATTCACAACTTGCATATCAAATTCTTCTAGAGTTCAAAGCAATTAAATTGGAACAAATCTGGATATGCGTAAAACGATTTCAAATATTTTAATTATAGTCTTCTTTAATGCTTACCTTCTTCATCCAGTAAAATATTGTCTGGTTTGATGTCTCTATAATTCAAAGAAAATTCAAAGAAAATTCAAAGTTACAAAATATAAAACTAGATACATGTATATATACTATTTTATAGTGCTAGTCATATTACTGCATGCATCTGTACAAAGTTTTAAACTGGGGATAAACATTTTTGGTTTATAAATAGATTTCCTTTAGCACCATAAATTGGTGTTTGAATCCACGCATAAATAATAACTTATCAATAAAAAGTGTTTTTAATCATGTTAATGTGGTCTGTAGATTCCTTAATTACACAATAAATAACTATGTAAGAATAAATCTCAAAGATTTTCACTGAAAACTATGAGAGATACAGCTATATAAGTATTAGCCAATCAGAATCCAGCTATATAAGTATTAGCCAATTAGAATCCAGCACACATACATCCATTTTCTTGCATTCAATTTTGATAGTAGCAAAAAGTAGAAACCAATTATGCATGTGCATGCTTTCTTGCTAATTCAACCACCTCATCTTGTCTACACTACTAATATATGTTATAATAATAAGGTAAAATGCATATAAAAAAAAATAGGAAGGTTAAAGCTGTTTCAGTTGTATCAGTCATTTCAGTCCTTGCATGCACAAGGACCTTTGTTCCACACATATGGACAACATGCTTGTTAACCCTAAAAAATTTTCATCTCAATCGGATGAGTAGTTTCTGAGAACCCTCGTGGACAAGAAAGTACCAGAGAAGAAATTTCGAAAAAAGAAAGGAAAAACAATATGTTCCTAGAACATAATTAACCCTCCACAAAAATTAGTGATTTCACAGTATCTAATCAACTGGTCCAGTTTTCCAAACAGTCAGTTTTTCATCAAAATAATACATCTTAATTTGCACAAGGGAAATTAAGTTTTACTTTATGAGGACATAAAATAATCATAAAACCTGGGATATTTGTTTTAAGCAATACAATTTTAATTTCTCAGCGAATTATGGAACAAAATCTCTCTCTCTTGCAAAAAGCTTGTATTAAAAATATATGACTTTTTAAACTTTAATCTGCTAAAGAAAGATTTAATTCACTGTTTGAGCAAAACCAATTTTTGTAGCTGTTCAAGCTGTATGGCGGAGGAAGAATTGTGTGCTCAGGGAATTTCCCCTCCTAAAGAGGCTGTATACACGCTGGGGGTAATTGGCTTTTAACACTTTCAAATTACTTATTAATTGAATGAGCTTAAACAATGCTTAATCAAGCTGTCAGTAGAAGGCCTGCTCTGTATTCTTATTTGTCAAGGGAAATTCAGTGCAAATATGTATCTATAGGCAGAATAGTTCAAAATGCATATTTAAGCTTTTATAACATGTATAAAATACCTTATGGCATTAAAAAAAATATTATTCCAATTTTTAAAATCAAAAAATATTACCAACTTCAATTTCAAATGAAGTCAAAGTACATTAATTTGTATTCTCATACTTAAGCATTTATGTGTGTTTTGCAGAATTTTTGGAGTTACTGGTTTTTCAGGAGTGAAAAAAAAATTGCAGATTAAGAAATTCTATTACTTTTAAGTATCTTTTTCAATACTTGAGTTATCTCCCCTTAAAATGCTATTCCCTTTCTCATTAATAAATAAATATATGAGGGAATATTCTAAACCCTTAAAAAAGCATCTTAAAAGACAGTAAAAAATTATTTAAGCAATTCATAAATTGAGCTATTACTTTAAGTTAATGAATGGCAAACATCTAATGAACACACACTGTTTATAAGACATTAATACATGTATGTTGCATCACTAAAACTACAGTATTTCATTTTGTTTTTATACCTGTGAATAATATACTTCTTCCTTAGGTAGTCCAGTGCTAAAGCAATCTCACACACATAAAGCTTGATATGACTCTCATCGAATTGAACCTCTTGCTGAATATGGAACCTTAAATCCCCTCCCAAAAGTAGGTCAACAACCATAAACATATCCTCCTCGTCCTGGAATGTGTACCAGAGGTTGACGAGGAAAGGGTGGTCCAACGCTGACAGAATCTCCACCTCACGGAACACGTTCCGAACGGCATCTTTTCTGACACACATAGCCTTGTTCATGTATTTCATGGCATACATTTTCTTGTTGTCTTTCTTCTGCACAATGCATACCTATAGAGTAACATAGAGTTATATGAAAGCTAGTCGAAATATATATTCTTTGAACCAGTCTTGGTAATTAAACTTGATTACTCATCAAGTAATTGTTGGAACTATCAAGTCATATGTCTGTTCTTTCCTTGCCTTCCTTTGGTTTTTTTTTTTGGACATTGTTTGGCTCAGAGTATTTGTGATGAAACCTGGAAGCAACAATCTTATAAAAGAGGGATTTTTCTTGTAAGGAAAGTATCATCCCTCTTATTTTAGTTTCTGTGTTATTTAAATCAAACATAGAATTTCATAAACATTAATACAGTGAAAACTGTCTAATCTGACACTTGTACAATTAGTTTCACTGTGAATTCCGATCCTTATTTAAATTCCCTTTTACTGTTTTCTATATTCTTTACACTGTGTATTCCGACATCCTCTCTATTCCAACACAAAATTTTCTCCTACTACGTGTCAGATAAGAAAGGTTTCATACAATTTCTCTTCAATTTACACATTCATATATCTATTTTGAATCTATTTATTATAATATTTCAGAATTACTTATCTTTAACTAATTTCATGAACAATTGTAAAATTATTTGTGAATAATTCCTTATCATCTGTTAAATTAAAATGAAATACCATAATTATTCTGATGGAGAATTTAAGACTTAAAGTAAGTTGATGGATGTCGAGATTGTATTTTGCAAAGGTTTCTTGTTTTTCCCCATCAATTTTTTTGTGTTAATTTTTGATTTATCACAGCATATATATTTTGTACGCATCTGATAGCAACATGCCAACAGATTAATACAATTATCCACTATACTCTCTCTCCATTAGGATTTTCTCCAATCTCCAATGTTATTTCCTCCTTTTAGCTAGTGATTCTCAGCAGAAGCAATATTTTGTCTTTTATTGATAATGCAATGGTGCCATCAGATGATATCTACTTCATTTAATATATTGTTCGTGAAAAAAAAATAGAGAAGAAAAGATGATCTTACAATTGTATTTGACAAGCTATACAGACTTCCATGTTTTTTTTTTACCTAGTAAGTGTGGATTTACTCAGACACTATTTAATTTGCATGCAGTCAATATACCAATGTTACCTTCCCAAAACTCCCTTTTCCAATAGCTCGTAGAATTTGAAAGTGGTCGAAATTCACTGCAAAATTAAAAAAACAAAATTAAGAATCATTTAGAAAGTTAGAAAATTAAGAAAAAAGGAAACAGTAAGCTCATATCATAAACAAACTGTACTTTCCATGCATAGAAAAAAAAAATTGCGGTCATTCACCCCGCCTTCAAAACAAGATACTTATCCATGCATTTACGGATAATATGATTGTTAATAATCCATGTGACGGAGGGAGCCACCGCTTATTTTCCCTGCATACACATTAATTTTGATTTACACCACAGCTATAACGAGATTTCTAGGACTTTGTTTATAAGATAACTGACAGATCCATGCATACTTAACTAATTATTTGAACATTAGTTAATGTCGCCTGCTAAATCTTATTTCCTTTTTTTATCTTATAAATTTCTAAGTGAAGACTTTGCAAAGCAGATTCTTAGTCCAGGTTTATTAGTCCCTCCCTATTTGTCCAATAAATCAATTTTCTAATGATGGGCATGAAGAAAGTGCCTTGTTAATACCTTAAACATGACCACAGCATGTAAAACCATGCACCTAAATATCTAAAATAAAGATTGTGTGACTGACAAAAAAAAAAAAATTAAGATAATCAAAAAGTGTGAAATATTGAATCTCAATCTCAAGGATGTGAAAGAGTTGGGAAAAGATTGGTATTCCAGAAATCCAACCATGTTAAAGGTTGGGACCCGAGACCCAGTTCAACATATCCCTGGTATTCCAGAAGTTTGTATTCAAGACACTTTAAGTTTAACTCCATATCAGTACAAATAATTGCTACATTTCTTGATCATTTTTTTCACTTTTACATTTTAAGTTTACATTCTAGTATATATGTTTTATATGAAGCAGTGTGTGTCCATTGAATGTGTAGCTACTGTTATGTTCACATGAAAATCATTTAAGGATGTGTTCTGCTGAGATAACTGGTATTTAACTTTTCAATTTTGGCATTTATATTATATTGTGTTCATTGTTTGAAAAAAAAAATAACAAAGAGAAAAATATGAGTTAATGAGCATATTTATCACATAGATACAAGGTATTAAAAATATGCTGGGAAATCAGACTTTGTGGCTTTTTTCAAAGAAATATGGCTGGTATCAATATTATGATTATTTTGATAGATAAAACCAGAGGAGTTCTGTAAAAATGACTGACAAATCCTTTAAGGACATAATTATCAATAGTGCTCTTCCTTTTCACTATTTGCCAGTTTGGTTGCATGGCAAAAATAATATCATTGTCATAAACAAAAGTTATATATGGCATATATTTGCAAAAGGTAGATTTCCAAGTACTAAGGACTCCAAGAGAACCTGCATGGAAAATGATCTTCAAAATTAACATCATGCAAAAAAAAGGTCAGATGCAGTATCTGCAACTAATCTGATACCTTAATGTATCATCCATGCATAGCTTGGTCCTGAAACTGAGCTTATAACAACTGGTACTTCAAAAATGCACCTGCTTCAAGATTCCAACCCCTAGAATAATGCTCTCTCACTTCATTGTATCAAAAGTGATTTTAAAGTGCAATTTTATTGAGATGATTTTATGCAACTATAGGCAATTATATATTTTTTTAATACTCACTAGAAATATATCTATAGGACATGGATACCCCACCCAGGGTTCATTATAATGCATCATGAAAAGAAATGTACCTTAATTAATTCACTCTCTTTAAAAAAGACGATCCAGCTGTTTTGTCAAACTATAGACCTATTTCATTGTTAAGTTGTGTTGGTAAAGTCATGGAACGTATTGTATTTAAACACTTGTATAACTACTTTCATTGTAATAATATTTTTTACAAATACCAGGCTGGTTTCTTGCCTGGTCATTCTACGGTTTATCAATTGTTAGAAACATACGATAATATTGTTAGAAATATTGATGATGGTAAATCCAGTTGTATGATTTTTTGTGACTTATCTAAGGCCTTTGACCATGTCTGGCACAAAGGGCTCTTGTTTAAGCTAAACATGTATGGCATAGAGAGTAATATGTACTTTTGGATAAAAAGTTATTTAGAAAATAGAACACAAAGAGTTATTTACAAAAATTTGGTATCCCCTTCCGCTTCCTTATATGCCGGCGTTCCACAAGGCTCTGTATTAGGTCCATTATTATTTTTAATTTATGTAAATGATGTATCTGACAAGATGTCAAGCTTTTGTAGATTATTCGCTGATGATAACAGTTTGCAGTACGCATCTAAATGTGTTAAATCTATAGAAAGTAATCTGAATAATGATCTTTTATCTCTTGAAGAGTGGTCAAACAAATGGTTACTAAAATTTAATCCATCCAAAACTAAGGTTGTATTTTTTAGCACAAGAAAAAACATAGAACCTCCCAAACTCCTATTCCAAGATAGCCAATTAGAATATGTTCAAACTCATAAACATTTAGGGGTAACTTTTTCATATAACTTAAGTTGGTCAACTCACATTGAAATCTTACTGTCTAATGCATACAAAAAAATTGGTCTATTAAAAAAACTTAAATTTAAAATAAATCGAAAGACTCTTTCACTCATGTATACTTCATTTATCCGCCCTCAGCTCGAATACGCTTCAGTTGTATGGGGTGGTTGTCTAGCTATCGACTCTGAAAAATTAGAGAAATTGCAACTACACGCAGCACGGATTGTTACTGGCTTGACCTTAATTGCATCTAGAGACTCTTTGTACTTTGAAACAGGCTGGGAACCGCTCATTGATAGACGCAAGATTCAGAGATTGAATACCATGTATAAAATTCATAATAATTTAGTTCCTGATTATCTACGTGAAATTATACCTGAAATGCAATGTAATGCTTCCGCGTATACAACAAGAAACTCTCAAAATTATAATATACCCCTCTGTAGACTGCAAACATACAAATCATCATTTGTACCAACTGTAGTAAACGAGTGGAATTCTTTATCGCTAGACACCAGACTCTCGAGCTCCTTATCTGCTTTTAAAAGTAAAATCACACAAAAAATAACAATAGCCCCGCCTTATTTCAGTTTTGGAAAAAGACGCTACAATATACTGCACACTAGACTCCGACACAATTGTGTGCTAAACATTGATCTTTATAGGTGTAACATAATATCTAGTCCATTATGCTCTTGTGGTAAGGTAGAAGACACACATCATTATTTTTTCTCATGTCCTAATTACACTGAGGCCAGGAAAGATTTCTTCGATAAGTTTTTGAGATTTAATAAAGTTCATATTGTTGACACTCATACTTTACTCTGGGGGGATACCTCACTCAGTATTGCTGAAAATGAATATCTCTTCTCTATTGTTCAATCTTATATTCAGCATTCAGGCAGATTTAATTGATTTTTCTAAAAATGTGTATAGATAATAATTTAGCAGTATAATGTTTCTATGTTGTGAGTTAATTTACTTTGTACATGCTGTTGGACACGTCTGATTGAATTTTTGTGATATAACATGTAGGGAGAGGGCGAATTAAGTTTTTAGAACTTGTGCCCAATCCCATTGTATATATTTATTGCAATAAAATATGTTCAAATCAAATCATTCCTTGTTTCTAACTGGGGTACATGAGAAAATGTGAGGTCAAGGTCACAAGGAATGTTAAGGTCAGAAAACAATCTGATTAAAATCAGATCCTTTGATCTGCTCAGATAGATCGCTACACATGGTGTGACGATCTATGTGAGTGGATCAAAGGATCTGATTTTAATCAGATTGGGTCAGAAGAGTATGACACAGTTGAAAAGTTCTCACCAAATTGTGTTAGTGTGTGAAGTTTGATGAAAATATCTTGAATAAGTTTCTTTAAAACTGAGTTTTACTGTTTAAGACACATTAAATAGAATTAAGTCAAAGGTCATTGGGAGGGTCAAGGTAAAAGATTCTCACCAATATGTATCAATATTAAATTTGTAATTCAATAAAAAAAAAATCTTGAATAGTTTGTTTGAACACATTTTAAAACTGAGCTAAATGCAAATTTAACAAAAGTGAGGTCAAGGTCAAAAGGGAAGGTAAAGGTAAAAAAAAAAATGCAGTTGAATAGCTCTCACTAATATGAATTGGCAAATGAAGATTGATAAAAATATCTTCAAGTTGAATATTTTCTTTGAAACTCAGCTAAACACAAATTTAAGAAAAGTGAGGTCAAAGCTCAAAGGATAGGTCAGGTAAAAAATGTTGATGCAGTTGAATAGCTCTCATAAATTTGTATCATCATCTGAAGTTTGATTAAAATATCTTGGATAATTTCTTTGAAACTGAGCTAAACACAAAGTTTGACAGACATTCACTCACTGAAGAACAGAAGGCAAACATGATAATTAAACACTATAAATTATGAACTAGCCATATTCATGGTGGAGCATAGAAATTATAAATAAAATTGACAGGTATTTGACCCCTCTGCTTTAAACTGTCTAAATGCAGAATATTTTCTCATCTACATCATGAAATAATTTAGGTATGAACTTTATCGCACCCTATATCAGATTCCTTTTACACTTAACACTTTCCATCAAAAATTAAAGCTATGCATGTAACCTTCCAATGTTAATATAAACAATGGATGATTGAAATACACTTTATATAAACTCAACTCTCTAGTTCTAAGTAAACTGCATTGATTTATGTACGCCAACCTAATTCAATTTAGCCGCCAATCCTCAGATGGAATCTGACATCTCCTATATATTTAATCAATGCTTCAATTCAGCACACATAAGTAAGAAAGGTTAAGTCCTGGTTCTTCATGTGGCAAGTATTATAAATTAAAAGAAGTTCCAAAGAAATATAACATATATCAAAAAGATTCCATCAATTCATCAAGAATTCATAAAGATATGTTAGGAAAATATTGTTCACCAAAGAATTGGTTTAAGATATTGTGTTCTTATATCTCTTATATTGTCAAATGTAAACAACACATGGTTCCTGGGGCAAAGGAAACATGCATAGGCAGTTTCATGTGATCTGATGACTACTGGTGTTCCAATCGTCGATTATAATCGAAAATCAGTCTATTGCTGGCATAATCCAAGCGCTTGATTGCAAAATTTTTATTCTGATTAATTGGTTTATTATTTGTTTCTTTACAAGCGTAATAGTTTTTAAGCCGAATATTCCAGCTGCCGCTTATCTGTAAACTTATTTGTGTATCAGAATGGCACAGACGAACAGACAATATTGTATCCATTACTGGGTAACAAACCACGTTCCCGGGTATGGACGTAAGTTTTATATCTGTACAGTGTATGAAGAAAAACAGATTCACACTAAATAAAACACTCAGCAAATTCTTTCCGATACCCATTACTACTGATGACCCAATATTCATAATTTTACATGAAAATAAAAAGAATATATTTTTAATAAAAAATCTTTTTTAAGATGATTCAGGTTAGTGTTGTGGCCTATGGGTCTCTTGTTTAGTTTTTTTCACAATCTGAAAGGAATTATTTGAAGTTCAATCTTTGACTCATGAATGAACAACATATGAATTTGTATTGGCAAAAAATACATTCAAGAACATGATGAATGCAGTTGGAATTTTAGTCTACGATGATTAATAGTACGTACATATCATTTATAATACAATTCCTATAACCCTGTACATACACTTATTAATATAAACAAGCTAATTCATGGACTTTGTGTCTCTAGCTTAAGGGAAAAAAAAGGGTGGAAGACCTGAAAAAATGCAGATGGAGAAAGAAAAACTAAGGTTGACCTTGACCATTCAGCTTTTGACCTTAGAGTCAATAGGGGTCTTTTTTAAGTTAAAGACATCTTCATGACCTTAGATTTCAATGCAAAGACAGAGAACAAAAGTTATCATATGAAAACTATGCATGTATGAATTTCTGAACTCGGTCTTTGACCTTTTGACCCCAAAATCAATTATTGGAGTCTTTTTTTTAATCATTTGATTAAAGAAATAAAATTTCATTGCAAAACCTAAAAGAGAAATATAGTAATATCACCAGGAAACGATTTAATAAAAGATATAAATTTTTGACCTTAAACTTTTGACTAAAAGTAAAACTCAATTTAGGTCTTCTTTAAATAATTGAGAGTTATGATAAAAGATTACATTGAAAAAGCTCAAGGAAGAGCAATTTATAAATTTCCGACCTTGACCTTTTTGACCTCGAAATCAGTAGGGTTCTTCTTAAAGGTCACTGAGAGTTATATAAAATTTCATTGAAAAGGCTGAAAGAAAACTAGAGTTATCATTCTCAAACCATTTTTTGCAATTTATGATAATTTCTGACTTGACCTTTGACCTTCTGATCTCAAAATCAATAGAAATCTTCTTTACACCATAGGGAGTTGTGATATATGTATATAATTTCATTGCAAAAGCTCAAAGGCTTTTTGAGATACGCATGCAGCTATCACAATGTGCTGTAGAATCACTTCATGTTGGACAATTAATGTTCATGTACAAACAAAATTTTACTGGTTCATGAGAGCGTAATTTCCTTGGCAACTCATACTGTAATGTATACTGCATGTTCAAGGACCTGACACAATGCCAAAATTATTGTTCATAGAGATATAAATTCATGGGAAAGGGTGACCCACAGAGTCTCCAAAACATTGGTCCCCATGAACAATGATGATTCCACAATAATTTTAGATATTTACGTACCTTCTCCATGGGCATCAAAGGAATCCTTTCTTCCAGAGGAGGAGTTACCCATCCTGATTCCTCTTTACAAAGTCAGCCACAGACAAATAAGACGTCACACATCTAAAATGATAAAAGTAACTTTATACACTTCATCAGTTCAGGAATTAAATCCAATAATGGCACCTTTAGCAGGGTTTGCGTTGTAGTCTTTACTTTTCGCTGCTTATACGACTGGATAGAATAACCCAATTTATATCAAAACCAATGATCTAAACTTATGAAAAAAAACAAAAAAATTTTTACAAAACTTTTCTTAATTATATTCAAATTTTAACACTGATAAAATGTAAATAATGAACAGTTAAATATTTGGCAATGCTCTCTTGATTTATACCCGCAGAATCATTTTAGAAAATCAGGACACACTGTGTATATATGTAGAATATACTGTTTTGTTCTTTCATACGATAACCATTGCTTAGGTCTTGACCATCCATTAAAATTTTCCTGATTTTGCCGATGTTGTGTTTACACTACCCTTATCATACTCCATCAAATTGATTGCTGTCCCACCCACCAGTGTACTGAAAAGTCAGAGGTTTAAAATTACATCAGTACCCAGGGTTCGAAATTCACTATATACAACTCGCAAAACGCGAGTTAGAATTCCCAAATTGCGAGTTAAAAATTAGGTAACTCGCAAAAACTTGCGAGTTGAGATTTTTGCATTGAAACTGTAACAAATTATATAATATGACAGAACACAATGCTTCTGATTTAAATCAGTAATTTAACTAAAATTCACACTGTAGTTGTATTTTATGTATTGTACAGTTGTTACTTTTTCCTTAAGTTACATGTATTTGATTTATATAAATGTAACTTTATATGAAAATTGCGAGTAGTCTTGTAAAATTGCGAGTTCACTTTCTTGGTACTCGCAATTATTTGCGAGTTGTAATTCTAGGGAGTTTCTAACCCTGGTACCCAAGGCAACTGACATGAAGGTAAATCATTCTAAATTATTTTCTTCTGTGCATTTCTTGATTTCCCACATATTTTCTGAGACAGAACACATTAAAACTGCCTATCTTGCACGTATTTTTTTCCTTCAAAAAATTTGCTTTTTCGTCAAATTTATGTGGTCATTATATAAAAAACAATGCCTGCATCATTATATGGTATATGTAGCACTTACTCATTATTTGCTTAAATTATGTGATTGAGCAAGGGATATTTTGACAATTTTAATCTAACCCGGGCCATGTTAACATGGTTAGCAAAAGAAAAGGATGCCTGCTGTACCTGGATTTCATATCTTCTCCAACTCTGAAACTAGAACATTAACTACTCATGGCTGTTCTCTAGACTGATATGCATGAGTAGATCTTTGTCAGACAATAACCTCATAATCATAATACTTTGTTTTCACTGCAAACTTATACAAGTAGAAAGTAGAAACATATGTTTTCAAATCACATATCGAATCTACTTCTTTAAGGATTGTAGTAAAGAATAGCTCCTAAATTTAAATAATTTGTGTTATAAAACATGGCTGCTGATTTGCTTAAATAAATTGTAGATGTATAGAGATAAAAATACATTTTATAAGAAAACATATTTCCTTCTAGAGATAAAAATACATCCTAAAAGAAAACATATTTCCTTTTCTCAAGATAAAAAATAGCCTAATTTTCATGCTAATTCAGTTTTTAAAATGTATACAATATTATTTTTTGAAAATGGAAGTGATCTTATCCAACTTGAGATGAAAATTGAAAAAAAAAATGTCTTTGAAAATAATAAATTTCATAAATCTATATACACAGAATATGTAAAGGTTTCTAAATTGACAGTGTCTCACTCTAAAGCTGGAGATAGCATCTTCTGAAAAATCAATATACTTATACCAGAAGTCTTCTGGCAGAATCATCCCTCAAACTGCCACAAAAAACATGTGGCAATTATCTGACACAACGTTCTTCAATTTTCTCTAAGAAATACCCTCTAATTCAATTCAATTTGAAATCAGACAGCTACTTATTTGGCCTCCCTTCCTTAGGGGTGTCAGTTCCCTTTTTTAGTGACTTAAAAGTGGCATCCTCTGCAATTTAAGCTTTGATAGTCTCTACAGTCAAATTATTAATTAACAAGCTTCATTAAAAAAAATATACACTTGAACTTTGGTATTTTTACATCAATATCTCAGATACTATTGAAATTTTGAAGTGAGATGGAAGTTCTAACCATGTTTTATTTATGAAACTGAACATAAATATCTCAAATCCTCAGATACATGTATCTCTTTTTTTTTTTTTTCCAAGCTTATCAAGCTCCTGACCAAGATAATGATATTTAACTGTATACATGAAAAATGAATTATAAAGTCATCCTGTTTGATTCCATTGTGTTCTATGTTTGCTGCATTAATCAACATATATTATAAAACTATTTAATCCAATATTTAAATTAATGTGGTCCCCATGTGATTCCAAAAGAATGGGGGGTTGGACACCTAAAAGCCAAAAAAGCACTTTAATAGAAGTTTTAAAATAAAGTAAGAGAAGGTATTCATGAGAGAAATGTATGATGATCTTCACCCCCCCCTCCCCCTCCCCCTCCCCAAAGAAATGCATGCATTGCCAAGTATACTGGAAAGTAAAATTTTAACATAGCAGAACATATCTTGACATTATAATAAAAAGTTTCTCAGTAGTTTTTGAACATCTTTATAACTTCCATTCTAACATGCATGCATTTAACATGTCACAGTGCCTAGCTGAAGCTTCCATAAATATAAAGTTCCAAGATAATGAGATTTGACTGTATATATCCAGTTTATATGTACATCTTAAAGATATCCATACATTCCTTTTCATTCTTTCAATACCTAATGTCACTAACCCATAGTTTGGAGCATCTGATCATTAAGTTTTATTAATCAGTCAATCCTAAGGTTATCTAAACTCAATGTGGCTGAGAAAAAAATTGACTAAAGATTTAAGATATATCAAGATGATCAAGGATAAATACAGTCAAACCTCATTATCTAGAACCCAATGGGACTGAGAAAAAACTTCGAGCTATCCGGGGTAAAATACTTAAAGAATAAGGGATTGGGACTTCCAAATCACTTTGACATAACCATGGTATTCAAGATATCAGTGTTCAAGATACCGAAGTTCAACTGTAAAATTAATAATAAATAAATAATAACAATTTGGCCATCCTTAAAAAAATTGTTTATTTGGAATTGCCGCCTGGGAGTTTTCACACCCAGGAGGGAGGGAGGGATTCTTTTTTTTTTTTTTTTTATAACAAATTTAAGTTTATAGACTTCCAATTCACTTTCAAATGACTTTGACACTATTATTAATTATTACCATAAGGTATTCAATCAAGAAACCAAAGTTTAAATGTCACTATGCTTCATACATGTACATTATGTACATTCATATACAGTAGATTCTACTGAATACACATCTTTCTTTTTTTTAAATTCAAATAATAAGAATTATCTTACTATACGTTATTTAAAACAAAATGCACACAATTTTAATTTAATTTAGCATGAGTTTTATATAATAATGTCTTTGTAAAATCTTCAGCAAAACACGTGAAAAAAATTAAAAATTTGCTCATTTTCCAAATTCATTCAAATTTTTTTGTATTCAAAATATATACATACAAAACTTATCTATACGTGTATAGCCCCATGTTCCACATACAGGTCTACTGTAACTTAACGAGATTTCTTTATTATGGCCAGCTCCTGAAGTCCGGATAATGAAACAATAAGGGTACAATAAAAATTGATTTTGCAATAAATGTACCATCACTATCATTACAGACACTTTTGAAATCAATACACGTTCAGAGAGCACAATCAATCTATTTCCAGATGATTTCTCTTGTCATAAACCGTGTTTAATTCAGAAATTAGAAAACAGCGATCTGTGACAGTGCATGTTTTTTAAATTTCTACTTACTGTTTCAGCGAGGAAGTATCGGAAAAATCTAATCATGTCATCTCTTTTCCATCGCCTTTTCCTGCACGGGAAACTGTAAATAGTAGCATCGTTGTGTATTCTGTTACGCTCCGTCGCACTTCGATTGATGAGCGGAAAATTTCACGTGATCAGGATCTCCATAGTGATTGGATTGTATCGGCCGCCATATTTGTTTTGGTTTGCCATGTGGAATGTCGATAACAAATTACGGAAACGGATTTCCTGTGTGTTTTGGTTTATTTTAAGGTCATGAAAATTACAGACAATATGCAGACAGACATGGAAAACCTTGACGAACATCCAGATATAGATAAATTAGATCTGGAAGGAAATGATGGATCATGTGAGAGTGAAATTGATCGGTTAGAGTTGTATTCGCCGGGCTTAGATTCCCCAACTGAAAGAGGTGTAGCCAAAACTAAGAAAGAAGAGGATTTAATTCTGAAAATTATAAAACAGACAAAGGCACTTGGCTCTAATACACTAGAATTATGTGATAAAGGACTGTTACAAATTCCCCGTGAATTGTTAGAACTGAATAACCTTGAGGTAAATGTTCCCACATGTACCTGTGTACCTGCTTGAACATGTACAGTGGTATTTGATTTGTTTATATTTTTTATATATGAAAGTCTTGAGCGAAACACTGATACTTAGAGGTTATTTTTTTCTCTTTCATGTGTTTGGTGAGAGTTTGCGAAAGATATGTACCTAACTGACAAAATGTGTTCTTTATTGATTTTTTTATCTTGTAAATTATGTATTTTTTTAGATGTGCTACTTGTAGAACAATGTAATTAGTACTTAAAATTAGTAATCTAATATTACGCGAACCTATAACTATACTTTTACACTCGAATCAATAAATGACCTCAACTGACAATTTAAATACCCATAAGATATATATATATATATATAATAAAATATTTCTGAGGGGTGGTGAAAATGAGAAAGGCTTGGCTAGAAAATGGCATGTAAATTAAATTTCTCATTGTACATTTCAGTACCTGTACTTGGAGGGAAATGAATTGACAAGTCTTCCTGATGACTTCTTTGACTGCTTGCCAAGACTAACCTGGCTTGACCTCAGAAAGAACAAACTTTTACGATTACCAAGTGTATACACTGGCAGGCATAATCACCTTCGGACACTTCTCTTAGAAGGAAACAAACTTCGAAGTCTTCCACTTGAATTAGGTGCTTAGATTACACTGTAATTTGATTTTTTTTTTTTCCAGATGTAGATTAATTCAGAATTTGTAGCTAATAAATGAAATTGTTGATACCCATTAAGGTTTTATTTATGTGGAAACATTTTTAAGTTATTTATTTAATATATATCCATGTTGATGTTTAATTCTAGGTTTAATAAAGAGTTTAAATGGTCTGAATATCAGCAATAATCCCATTGAATTTCCCCCGAAAGACATTATGGAGAAAGGCACTACTGAAATTTTGAAGTTTCTCAGGGAAATGCTCCAAGCCAAGTCATCAGGACAACTCCTGAATGGTAATGTCAAATGAGGATAAATATTAGAATTTAGAACTTTTACATTTAAATGACAAAGAAACTATGTATGCTTCCAAAGACAAAAAAAAAAAATCTTTAGAAAATCGTACATGCAAAATGCAAAAGCATCTTGTACCAATCAATTCATTTACAGTACTAGAGTTACAATTTTTAGAAAAACCATTATTCACTTAATGCTTTGATTGAATTAATCAGTTATTATTTGCTGAACAATGTAAATTTTAAAAACACCCAATATGTTGCCATAAAATTAAAAAAACCCAATATGTTACCAAAAAACTGCAGATTTTCATATAAACCAGCATGTACTAATAAGTGTTCCCCCATTTATCGAAATATTTTCAGTACATGTATCCAAATTTTTGGCAAGGTTTGCTATGACGAATTGATTTACGTAGTGAGGAGATTTCAAGCTTATCCAGCTCTTTTTTTTGTCCTCCTCCCTCAACATTCATGATTTCAGTTCCCTCTTCATTGTAATTTTTTTCCCAATGTTTGTTTTTAAAAGTCTCTCCATATGTACATCTAGGTTCCCCTGGCAACGCAAGCAGTAGTAGTAGTTCTGATGACTGGGATGACGGCGATGATCTCCAGGACTACGCCAAGCGCCGGCAGAGAACTCTGGCTCTAGAGGATGCTAAAAGCACCACCACAAAATCTTCTGACCCATTCGGACCAGTGCCACAGCCGGTGGCACTTCATCAACCGGTCAGCTACACCGACAAAAAACAGGAAAAGGCTGAGAAAGTTCGCAGGGCAGGGGCATCGGGCACAGTTGAAAGGTGAGAGGAAGATGGGAAGAGGAATTTTTGTTGTTGAAAATTTATTGTCAAATTGAAATATCTTTCAACATTTCTAAAAAAATTAATGTTTCAATGATTAAGTATATTCCAATATGGTCTCAGTCAGGAAATAACGCAATAAATACAATCTTAGGTAAAAAAAAATTAAATTTAAAAATGTGTAAATGAACAAGCACTTTAATGTTCAAGATTTTTTTGTAATATTTGGAAATAATTATCAAATGTGTAGTTCTTCATAAACTATACTATTTTGGCTTTAAGCTTTAAAAAACACAGGTATGTAACCGGTTTGTTGTTTTAAGTCCCTTATCCCAAATTCCCTTAGATATGAATATTTCAAGCTTAATCAGAAAATTGCCAGGAAAACCCTTAGCTACCTATGTCACCCTAGCACCATCATGAAGGCATTAAATTCAATGATGTATGGGGCATATAATAGATATTACCTCTGCTACACTGTAGGGGTCCTTGGTATCTAGATTAGAATTTATGCTGTGATGAAAATTTTAGAAACAAATTAAAACCCACTGTCAATCATAAAAAGTAGATTTTCGATAAGACTTACAGATTTGATTCTATAACATATAAAGATATGAGAGATTGGAATTATAATTATTTACCTTTGTTAATATAAGCAGACTTACAGTTTGTGCAGACATATAGTAACAAATTACCCTGCCTTAAAAATATACTACATTAATGTGTTTTTTTAATATGTTGATCAAATTTTCAGAGTTGATTCAGCATACTGTACAAGAGAGGCCATGTATATGGATATTAGGTAGCCCAAGCTGTTTCTTTAAGATAATTAAATCATGTAAGATTCCAGCTAATACACAGTTGCTCCTCCTGACAGATATTATTCCTTGTTCTCCATCACTGCTATAATTAATAAATATATACCAAGTAATTAATTTTTTTTACCCTTTAATCTTGACCTTTCAATATATAACCCTTCTCTCCAATCATTTCCCTATAACTTCCTGTTAACATGTTCTAGTTAAATGTCTCATTAAGTGGACAGTGGTGATCAGTTCACTCATAAGGGTATAATATTTATCCTGTTCTTGATGGGAACTTTATGGTAACTTAACCCATTAAGTATCCAATACATGTATTTGTATCTTTCATGATGAATTGGTGCTGATGTAGAATGTATAATACATTTATTTATAATTGATGATATATCTACGATTTTTTCGATATCGAAATCTGTATGTGAATTTGGGACTTACTAATTTTGGTTTATGAATTTCTTCTGTCAAGAGAAACTTCTACCCCACAAAATTTCTGTTCTCATCTGATCATATACAATTATTGTAAAAGTATACAGTACATATAGTACTCAAATAAGACATTATGCTGTTCAAAGAGCAATTCTTGAAGAAATAAATTGGTAACAGTACTATTATGAAAAAAGTAGAGATGTAGGCAGATGCTGATATTCGGTCGTGTTATTATGCATTGACAGCCTTAAAAATGAATTTTATTTTACTTATAATTAAGAAATAAAATGATTCTGTATTTTTTATGAGTTAAAATATGTGGTTTCCCTTTGGCATCCAATTTAATTTTCAAGAACATCAGATCTCCTCTGTTTCCTAATTATTCTTTTTTTCTCTCTCTCCGTCAATTAAGTTTTCGACATATGCTTGAGTGTGGAAGGAGAGCTTCACTCCATCAGGTGTCTTTGAACAAACCTAGCTGCAGGTTTGATGCCAGTTGTTTACAGTTCATATATTTCATTAATAGCAAAAATTGCATGTGTTTTTGAATCAAGAGGTATCAATTAAAAATTTTTTTTTGCACTTTAATTTTTTTAAAATTTTTTCTATGAATTTCTAAATGACCACTCTTGTATTGTTCCTTTTTATTGGTCCTTCACTTGGCCAGTGACATTTTGCTTTTGTCCATCATTACACTGTGTTTCCATTCCTGGACTATTGCTTTGAACTCTGCAGCCAAAAATTGCTCTTTTTGATAGTTCTCTCCTGAATATTCTGTAGACTAATTGTTGACATAAGAATTGATATGTAATCAGCCCACTACTAGAATTCTGAAATTCCTTTTTCCAGGTCAGGATGAATTGTTGAGCCCCTCTATTGAAGCTAGGTTGATCAAACAGTGAAAATTTATGAAATCTTTCATTAATATATCCTTTTTTACTTGACAAAAAGGTTACTATAATAATAGATCATAAGAACATGTACTGGTAGTCAAGGACACATACATGTATCAAAGTAAAGATGACTTAGTTGGATTAACATATGATTTTTTTTAAATGCTGTTAGTGACAAACCTGGAATACAAAATGTATTATATTAAGGAAAATTTGCTGGATGATACTAATAGGTGATCATCATGGATTTTGGGATTCTTGTTTTTTTTCCTTAAAGTTGAAGTTATTTACTTAAGTTTACTAAAACATACATTATTATTATTTCATGTTGGGTAAACATTAATTACTGGTATAAGTATTTTGAATTGTTTCATGAAAGTTTTATATTCTTGTAATGTTTTTTGAACTGCACAAATGCACATGCATACATTATATCTATTTTAAAATTCAGTCTCTTAGAGTACCATTTTATCACTTTTATGCATCTAAATGATTCAATTGACTCATAAATTTAAAAAAAATAAATTAAAAAGCACAAAATCAATACATCATGATTTCTTTTTACTTGTGTACTCATAGACTTTAAAAGCTTTGACTTTGAGAACATATCGTTATCTAGTAGTGCTTTAATATCCTACACTTGTTTTTGTTTTTCAGTCGTAAAAAATCAGCTAGCAGTGTGTTGAATTGGCGAGTGAATCCATACCCTGAACCTCCTCCTGAAGAATACGCCAACTTCAAAATGACAGAGGAGCGAAAACTTGCCAAGGTCAAGGAACACAAACAGAAAACAGAAGCCATTATACAAAGGAGAAAGTAAGTAAGAGGAAGTCTAATAGAAGCCATTATACAAAGGAGAAAGTAAGAGGAAGTCTAATAGAAGCCATTATACAAAGGAGAAAGTAAGAGGAAGTCTAATAGAAGACATTATACAAAGGAGAAAGTAAGTAGTCTAATAGAAACCATTATACAAAGGAGAAAGTAAGTAAGAGGAAGTCTAATAGAAGCCATTATACAAAGGAGAAAGTAAGAGGAAGTCTAATAGAAGCCATTATACAAAGGAGAAAGTAAGTGAGAGGAAGTCTAATAGAAGACATTATACAAAGGAGAAAGTAAGTAAGAGGAAGTCTAATAGAAGCCATTATACAAAGGAGAAAGTAAGTAAGAGGAAGTCTAATAGAAGCCATTATACAAAGGAGAAAGTAAGAGGAAGTCTAATAGAAGCCATTATACAAAGGAGAAAGTAAGTGAGAGGAAGTCTAATAGAAGACATTATACAAAGGAGAAAGTAAGGAAGAGGAAGTCTAAGAAACTGAATCTGAACCCTATCATTCAAATCCAACACTTCATAGAAAATTAATTGGATTGATGCATGGGTCTACACCATGCATCTCACTCTTTACCATTGGCTAATACATTCACCACTGTTGTTGGCTCACATATATCACTGTGATGGGTATGAGAAATTGTGCATTTGCTTTAATTCATTATATTTAAATGCCTGTGCCTTATGTTTCTCCTTTAAGGTAGGTATTTTTATGAAAAGATTTTTTTAAAAGAAAAAAAGTTGTCTGTCATTCAGGTGGTCTGTGTTCATCTTGAAGAGAAATTGAATTGTGTGGTGGTTTTTTTTTCAAAATAAGAATATGCTTGTATTATAGGAGGTTATGCTTTTAAATTTTAATAATATTATATGCATGAACATTCATGACATAGTCTAATAGAATTTTTAAATTTCAGGGACAATGAAGCATTAAAAGACTGGAGAGTGAAATCAAAAAAGATGCAGCAGAAGAAACATTATGAAAGCATGATGAAAGGAACGAAAGGTAAATACTTGTGTTTTATACATATCCGTGAAGATTTTTCACAGTCTTAAAAAGTATGCAACATAAAAGATAAAACTTGCTATTATAGTGTTAAATTCATAAAATTAAAGTTGGAGTACAATTTGTTTTCTACAAACTTAGGATGTTGCATAAAAAAAAAATGATAGGTCATTTCCACTAATAGTTTCGTCACTCTCTGTTGACAAACAATGAGATGATTAATATTTAACTTATCTGAGCTTAGAAATATGCTGCATGCACAATTAAATGAGTGAAATTTAACTGACTTCACCTAAGATTAACACTTGGCTTGATAGACAAAAATCCTAGAGCCAACTTGCATTCATGTTTGAGAAATAAGGAGCAAGGTTCACATAAGGCCTTTTTTGGTCCTGTGAATTTCTGAAAAATTAGAACTGTTTAGTTTTATTTGACAGTGCATTAAATATCACTTTGAACATTGGTGGCTGCATATCTTTTAAAAATAAATTGGTATATCTACAGGACCATTCTATGCATTAAGTAAACCTAGCTTGTTTGTGAATTCATTTTACGTGCAAATATTTATTGCTATGATTGTGTATTTATTACGTAGAATGTTTCCACCATAAAAAAAAATAAAAATAGTCAAAGATCATGGATTTTAAGCTGACAATTCTCCTAAATAATGGTTGTATGGGTTTATAGTATTCAGCATATGTCACTGTTTGGTGTGATGCACTATAAACATGTTAATGCTATTAATAGTCCAAACTATGGGTGAAATTGTTATTATAATAAGTATATAACTGTTATTTCAGTTTATAACTACTTAATTCCTGTTGAAAGGGCATATTTTCTTTGGTTTTAAAAGTCAAATTAACAGAGTTTAACATGATTTGACTTGACCATTTCTTATCAGTTTTATAAACATAATTTTTTTTATTTTTAGATTATGTTGATGCTGTGGAGAAAGCCCCTTTTGATATTGACAAAAATCACATGAAGATTCCAACCAATGAGGAGAGAATTAAGGTAAGTCACATGATACTGACAAAAATCACATGAAGATTCCAACCAATGAGGAGAGAATCAAGGTTAGTCATATGATACTGACAAAAATCACATGAAGATTCCAACCAATGAGGAGAGGATCAAGGTTAGTCACATGATACTGACAAAAATCACATGAAGATTCCAACCAATGAGGAGAGGATTAAGTAAGTCACATGATACTGACAAAAATCACATGAAGATTCCAACCAATGAGGAGAGATTCAAGGTTAGTCACATAATTTTGACAAAATTCTGGCCAATGAGGAGAGAATTACTAAGTTATGGAAAGTTTTTATTTCAATCACATTCTGTATTGAAAATATTTCTTATATAGGAAGACGTAAAGAATGCCCATGAGAAGGTTAGGCGAGCTCTGTCACCATCCACTCGTCAGCGCATAGAGGAAGAGAAGTATGTTACTCCAGTACACTATAGATGTGAGAGATTTGATCAGCCCAAAAGTGGAAGTTTTTCAATTTGATGATAAAAAATATGGTTTCAGATAATTTATACACCAGATAAAAAAGTATTATAGCTCTTTTCAGTTTTCATGTCTTGCTTTCTGAAATTTTACACATATCATTTTATGCAGCTGAAACAATAAGGAAGTATGATTGAATAAATTGTATTTCAAACAATCTAATTGAAAATAGATCTTTGATCCACTCCGACTATAAGTAGCGATCTAGTAGAAGCGGATCAAAGATCTAATTTTAATTAGATTGTATTGCAAAGGAAAAATTTTGTTGCTTTCTTACATTTATGGTGCTTGATATGAAGAATAATTGCAAATATTCTATTGACAACTTACTATAGAAATTACACGAAAGACTACATTGTATAAACTTTATGTTGTTTATTGGGTAAAATAATCACATATTAAGGTTGTTACAATGATTGATGTGATGTAGATATTCAGTATAGTTGTAATGGTTACAGGACTGCAAGGATACGGGAGTTAGAGAGGAGAATAAAACAGCACACATCACAGATGCATGACAGAAGAAAACTCCCTAAGGGTACCCCACAGGAAGAAATGGAGGCTGCCAGAAGGGAGCTAGAAATTGTAAGTAATATAATACAAAATATTAATGCTTATTTTGAGAGGTGGGAAAAGAGTTTTCAAAGTAACTTTTTTTAAATGTTAATGAAATAAATGCTAATGATGTCAGTTTTATCTGGAATGTGATTGTAATATTTTAATTAAATAGAAAGTTTTCATGTCTGTGCTCATATTCTGTTTGATGAAAATTCGGGGCATGTTATTTTGGCCTGTGATTTTGTATGTTTATAATTTTACTTTTGGTTATTATTTTGAACTGTGTTGAAAATGCTGATTGGTATATGGCAAGGTTAAGTTTAAGGTCAAGGTCATATTAATGAAGAGGTGAAAGGTTAGATGAGAATTATCTGTGGCACAAAGCATTGTTTCTTGAACACAGGTTTCTTTCCACTAACAAAGGGATTGGTACATGTATTCCATAATTACTGATCAGAGAGTGGAGGGTACTATTTTATGCTTTGTTTTACAATTATTATCACAAAATGGTCATGTTGTACTTTCAGTAATTTATCATCTTGGTAATTTGATACTTTCAACAACTATTCATTTATTTTAGACTATCTCAATTAATCTGACAAATCAGTGAAAAATTGACATTCTTGATCATATGGTTTTTAAATGCATGTAATAAACAAATTTTATTAAAGGTAATTTTTTAAAAAAAATTATTAATCACAACAGTCATTTCTTTGAATTATATATTAAGAGATTTTGTTTTAATCTTCCATTATTCAGACTGAGAAATAATCATAACTGTATATTAGGTATATCTTGTACATACATAAGACATTGATTGAAATTTTTCAACATCAGCATATAATCCATTTCAATTTTTTCCCTAGAATCTTTTTAAAAAGTTTACAACTCAATAATGATAATAAATTAATATGTTTTTAGAAAGAAAATGTACTTCATTATTGAAAATATTGTTGTGAACAATATATTCCTAAAGCTACTTTGTAATGACTATAATGTATAGTGTTTGTACTATGCTGAACAATTAATGTTATTTATAATCAAATCAAATGAGAAATGGACATGTTATTGGAAGTTTGGTGGTGTTTAAAAATTTAAACTCATGCTGAATTAATACATTAAATAGACTATTGATATCACATGTTTATTATACATTGTATGCTAAATATGGTTAATACAGCTCTATCAGTCCTTTTCCAATATTTGAATCTGTGTTTTAGTTTAATATATTATATGCTTCAAATTGATTTTATTTGATATGTTCCTGGTTTAAAATACCAACCAAGACCCCTGATCTTTACTGCATTTATGCATGGCTTTAAAATTTAATAATTGTTTTGCATGATAACCATAACATTAAAAACAAAGTATGAAATTGAAAATTATTCCCATGAATAGCTCTCCTCAACAAAATCTGGGCAAGCACTTGTCACTCCAGAGCCCTGATTTACAAAAGAACTTAAGATCAAAAGATCAAAATGATATCATGCAAAGATCTTTATTTTTTTTTTACATTAATTTGAAAATGGTTGTATTCTTTTAGAAGTATTTAGAAAGATATTTTATGGAAACAATTTTAAACAGAAATGTAAGTTTTGTAAGATTTTACAATAAGTTAAAGTTTTTAGTCTTAGTTAAAAGTTCTGTAAAGTGGGCCCCAGGTTATTCAAGTGACAATACTTTAAAACGAGTTTTCAATACTTTAAAATTTCAAATGCAATTCAACATTTTTGGGATGCCAGTGTTTTCAAATTATGTGGAAAAATAGAACAAGTTGGCATTGATAAAAAGTCTTCTCATTGAGGATTTATTTGGCATGATTTTGTTGAGGTGAGCTATATACCCTCTTACACATATTGCTTTTGATTAAATTTAGAAAAGAAAACAAAAACTACAAAAAAAAAGGGGGGATAATATTTTATTAACAATTACTTGGTGGAAGTCTTGTGGTTCACTGAAGTAATAGGGCTTTAATCTTGTGGTTTATGGGAGATACGGCTATATATTAACAAAAATAAATTCACCAGTATTTTATTTTTTATTACATTGGAAAAAATAAAATTTTACAACAGCAAATTGATAAGATACCCTCCTCGGAGAAGTTTTAGCTGAGGGTGACAGACTTCTTGTTAATGAAAATCATATTAATCCTGAATTATTATTCCTTGCTAAGTAGAAAGATCTCTTACTACATCTGTGATTTTGCACTTAATTATTAACAACAAGAAATTTGAGGAGGAAGACTGAAGTAGTTTGTTTTGCCAAAAAATGAACAGTTTAAATTAAAAAAAATAATATATAATTATTACAAGGGACTTAGATGGCCATCATTAGAAATTATTTTTAGATGTAGTTGAATATTGAGAGGACTTTTAAGTAGATAATAAGCTTTACTCCTTGTCTAGGTGAAATCTCTGCAGAAAGACCTCCTAAAGCGCTATCAGGAACTCAAAGCATGGACCACAGGTTTTCTATAACAATCAATCTTGTAGACATTCTGTGCTTGCTTTCTACCAGTCCATTAATCACCAATGCATGCTTTGAATATGTTTAAACCTGGTTAACAATATATCAGAAGATAAAATATGATTTGGTTTAACAATTAGATTTTCTTTATGTTTTTATTACTATGTACCATGTAGGTGTCATTTAAATGTGTCTTAACTCACAATACCTTTTTTTTCACGTCATGTTAAGGAAAATCACAAATTTTAATTATTAATTAAAATAGATAATTTGAATGTGGGATAATTTCTAACCCAACACTTACAAAATACACACACTGACCTTTTGCACACATTAAAGTACAATGGTGATAAAGGCTTTCTGGGCTCTAGATTAAAATAAGCTAGTTATTAAATTATGAGATGTAGGAAAAGATGGTATACAGTGTATAAAATCTCTTGCCCTTTTGTCATTGCATGATAAATCATCACACTTCAATTTTAAAAATTTCTTTTCAGTTTATTTTTCTTTCAATATGCTAACTTTCTATTTGCTAGATTAGTCTAGATCAATATAGATATAATTATCATATTTAATTATCATGTATTGAAATTATTATATTGCATTCATTTGCTCAATATTGAATATTTGACATATTTATACATATATATTACATAAGTTCTACAGTTTTTTCTGCACTTCTCACTTACTCATTTTTGTATAAATTGCATAACGAAATATTATATATTAATTCTAGCATCATAAATATTCGTTCACATTTTATATACACATACATATACAGTGGAGTCTCACTAACCCAGATTAGTGTGTTCCCGGGCAAATTGTCTGGATTAATGATCAGAAGTTTCTGCGTTACAGAAACATACTTGGTATGTCTAAATATAAATTGTTCTTCTCAAATTTTGTCTGGAACGTGAAGTGTCTGGATTATTTGTGTCCGGATTAATGAGGATCCACTGTAATTAAGTAGAATGTTTATGCTACATTTTGTTGTTGAATAAACTGGCATAGGACCAATTGGAATAAAAAAAAATGGGAGAAGAAATTGCTATATTTACCACAAGTAAACTGATAAGTCAGATGAGATCAAAACAACTACATATATTAAAAAAATTATTAATGTATTTTAATTTCTAGCCTTCAACAACATGTACGTCTGTAGTATAGGAAATTCAAAATACCATAATGATTTTTTTAAAGTACAGATTAAAGCCTCCATTTATCTGTTAAGGACTATTATTTTATAACTTTATTAATTTTTTAAATATATATGTATTTATTTTTAAACCTCATTTGTATATTGGAGAAACTTATTTTAAGCAGGACAGACTTTTCGGGGACTGCTTCGTATAAGCATTATTTTACCACCCATCCCAAAATTCTAAATGTTTGGTAAGATCTAAGTGTGTGAATTTGGTGGCTAGATTTCAAATTTTATATCATATGCCATGTTCAGTATACATGTAGTAGGCTAATTAAGTAGCAGTTGTTATGAAAAAACATACGTAAATTAAACTCTAATTTTAAATTCACTCATTGCCACTGTGGTATGTTTTACAAAATAGTGAGTTAAAGTTTCAGATGGGATGTAAATGCATTGAAAGCAAAATTGGTTCATAATTAAGAATGTAATTGTGAAAAAATAATGAGTTCAGGTTAATAAATTCTATATCGCCCTCATCTTTTGCTGTTGGATCACAGTGAAGATTTGAATTACTAATAACTGATCCAGTGTAAAAACAGAGTTAATTATATTATGCAAGTTTGATAATGATATTTGAAATTTTTATTGAATAACACATTTGAAAGAAAATGCTTAAAGATTTTCCTATGTGCATATGGAAGTCCAAATGTGAGTGAATATTTTTTAATGACATTTAAAAAAAAAAAAATCAAATAAATTTATATAATTTTTAGCATTTAGGACTCAAGGCCTTAATGCTTAATTCCAGGAATGATGTATAGACAGAAAACTAATTCATTTCATAAGGTACTCCACATTGATTTGCATACGTGGAATTTTTCACAAAGTGTTCATATTAATTACAAAGCACTTTTAAAAGCCGAACACACATTGAGGATACTACAGAAAATTGACATCCAATTATCCCTTCCATGATTGTGTTAGAAATATTTCATGAAAAGTAAATACTTGACTCTCTTTTTTATATCCTAGTATACAAGTAAGAATTTCCACATTTTAAAAACTTTTAAATAAAGTTCATACTGGTAAGTACAGGCCAGTTATTAAAAGCATTATGTATGTAATCTAGGTAGCAGTTCAATGACATATTTATAAGACTACCATCTGCTGAAATTTTATTGGATTTCAAACAGATAATGGTTAAATAGAGTGCACCTACTAACTATATATATATACTGTACAATACTTTGAAGTAAAATGTAGAGTAAAAAAATAAAGAATATTCTCTTGGAGAAGGTATATTGTTAGATGGCTTATTTAAACAGTGCTGAAGACTATATGTTAAGTTAGCTTTATATTACAGATTCACAGCTCTCCAGAAAGTTTCCTCATGCATTTGGTAAAAAATAAGTGTTATAGTAAGAAGTATAGAAAAAAAAAACAGAGATTGCATGGACAGTATTAGACAACTTTATGAGAATCAGCATGTGTTCTCAAGATGCATTTTTTTCAGCTTCTGAATTTTCTTTGCATACATTTTTTTCTTCTTCATGGTAATTAATTTTCAGTGTCTTTCAAACACATTATTTCTGAATCAAGTTGTTAGTAACACACTATTTATGTAGAATAATGGTATAGTAACTGTTGCAAAATGTTACAGAACATGTGAATGAAGTTAATAATATACATACAATGTTTTTTGAAATAATTTTATTCATGGAGGAGGGGGGGGGGGGTGGTCAGTGTTTGTGGGCAACCCAAATTTTACGGGTTCACGGGGACATGATTTCATCTGTAACTCATATAATAAATCAATACTTTGAAGAAGAAGAAAATAGATATTGTGGATATGTAAATTCATGGGTATTAAGAGCAGCCCATGAAATCCACAAACATTGGACCGCAACAAACAGCAATGATACTACAGTAAATGTTCGAATTTAAAGAGAGTATTTAACATAAATGGACATTTACAGGAACCTCATTCTTTATAGTACTCAGGTCCACTTTTGACAATATTTTGATTTCTGAGTAAATGCAAACCCACATGATACTAAAATTTTGTTTTCTCAGAGAAGTAGTATTTATTAAAAAAAACAAAAACAAAAACAAAACAACAACAACAAACAATAAATAGTTTTATCAAAAAAATATCAATATAGTTTTCCTAGAGAAGTAGTAATTATTAAAAACAATAACAACAACAACAAAGAATGAAGAGCCATTCTCTGTAATGACTTGAACTTTTATATAGGAGCTGTGGCACGCATAGTCTCAGAATTTCTCCAAACTCTCTATGATAAAAGTCTTTGATACCGTTAACTCAAATCAGGCAAAAATTGGTTGCTACGTGTCATGGTTACCATAGCAACATGTCCTAAAGTTTGAAAAATGGCATTTTTCAACATCTTCAGAGTCCCATAGTTAACGTTTGCAGCAAAGCAAACAAGTTGCAATGACTGTTTCTGAAAGTTGAAGGCCTGGTGTCTTAAATGCATGATAAACATGTTTGGTAAATCATCTATAACTTACGTTACTATGGAAACAAAGTATTCAAAAGTAATAATTTTGTTCATTTAATTTTATAAAGTCATACACTTAAGAATAAAAACAATTATAGGTTGAAATGCAAGCAAATAATAGAGAAGAGATCTTTGTAACATATACCAAGGACAAAATATGATATTTCTTATAGGTTGGCAATGGTTGCCATGGTTTTAATACCACAAAAGGATTTTAAATTTACTCTCTTAGTGTTTTAATCTTATCCTATCTTTTTAAAAAGCATATTTCTATATAACTGATGATCAATTTTTAAAGGCCTTGGTGTGACCCTAATTTTCACATTTCAAAAAATTCAATTTCAATTCTTTAAATAGTGCATTGCTGTGGAAATAAGGCGAAAAACATGCATAAAAATCTGAAAAATACTCTGTTTCCTTGGATACGTACCGTTGTATGTAGATTACCAAAACTTTAATGATTTATGTATGTGAACAACTAACCTGACTTTCAATTTTGACTATCACCCAATCTCTAACTGGATGCAAAAAGCTGGCACATAGGGTCTAATATTTACAAAAAATTAACAAAATCGAACATTTTCTCTTCTTGGTTACCATAGCAACAGTGTTGTATTTTTCAACAACCTTTATCAATATATGATATTCAACTTTAGTTCTACGAGATAAGTACTATTAAGGTGATTCAAATGATATTTTTCTTGATTAGTAAAAGGTTGGTAAATTCCTAAAGCAGCAAAAAATATCACTTTAAACAACTAGTACATTGTTTCCATGGTTACACAGCAAAGTAACAATTAATCTCAATTTTTCTTATGTTGTCGGTGTTGCAAGGTTCTAAGGATGCATATGTGCCAGTCATGAATTTTATTGTTTTCCCTCACGATAGTAGCATTAACCCAATCATAGCAACAGATTTTGCATGGTGACTCTGTGTTACCATAGCAACCATGAAAGTTATTTTTAGAATAATATTGCCAATACCTAATTACAGGAGGTCAAATATTTTTCATTGTTTTTCTTACGTTGTTGATTGAGTTTGATCATGTAACATCTATCATTTGTGGCTATAGAGTGTTTTTCAGCATTTTTCAGCATCTAAAATGTATTCCAAATGTACCCATGGTTACCACTTACTTAGAGATAAATTCTAAATAGTTTCTTTATAGCATAAGTGGCAACAAGGTGTCATGTTTTTGGGAGAATGGTTTGATTGTTTTTCTTAGTCTTTATTAAAGATTTAAAGTGGCTGAAAATCTCAATTTTTTCAACTTTTCTGGCTGTTACCATGGTAACCAAGACACATAGCAACGAAATTTTATTTGATATGTTTCTGGTGTCAAGTTGTAATAATGGGCAAAGTTTCATCAAAATCGGTGACCATGCGTGGCAAAGAAGTTTAAGTGGTTACAGATAATTGCTATTAATAGTTTTATTAAAAAAATATCAATATAAAAACAAAAAATATAAACTACTTATCCTCTAAACAATGGCTGTAGCTATTATATATATGCTTGCGTCTTCCAACTTAATTGCTAAAGTATTGTAAATATATCATAACTTCATACAATGCTATACAACATATATTTAAAGCTAATGTTGGGTAGTTTACTGGTTAAGGAGGAGCTTGGTAGAGTGTACAACAAATTATTCAATCCTGTGTTAATACAATAATTGATTATGAGAACTGAGCAATAATGAATAAACCATACTGCATGGTTAAATATTCATTGCATGAATGAATGAAAGTAGTTCATGTACATGTAGTAGCCTTTCTATCCTGAAGTCTTCTTTCATATAATTTTTTTTAAAGGAAAAGAATGGAATTTACAAATTAAACATATTCAATTTTAATATCAAAAATAATATATACTGGAAATGTTGTAAATTAAACAATGTCAAAGGAAATTTAAAACAATTTTATTATCAAAGTCATCATAAGAAATGCAAGTTGCAGGAATAATTTTTGAAATGTCAGTGTATTATTTACTGAAATTGTATTGACACCTGAACAGGTAGAAGTTCTAATACTTCCACTAGAGATTTATTTTGGCATTAGACCTCTGCAATTCCATAGTCTGGCCAGTAAGTTACATTCTACATGTAGAAAATAGCTATTGTTTTTCTTATAGTGGAACTATTATATACGTGTACATTTTCATTGGAATTTTTTCATGCTATATTGTTTAAACTTTACTTTAATATTTAGTTAGATATGAAATCATTATTAAGAAAAGACATATTTTTAAAATAATTTTTACACTTAATCACTTAGTTTAGAACCTTTCAAATACATATACTAAAAATAGTTTATGACAAAGCTATTTCAGTTCTAGAATAGCTTTATTTTTCACAAATTGTGAGAATTGTGTTTGAAAATTCACATTGTTGAAATAAAACCACATGACCATTTTGTATGTTTTTGAAGTGTGTTTGCCGTGGGTTTTTTCCCCTTGTTTAGTTTGAATATCCAGTAAAGATGAAGTGATTTTTCTAGAAAGATGTCAAATTTTAAATTATAAAACATTATTCTGGGTATTTCTTTAGGCTGAGGATTTGCACAAAGAATTGATGTCCACAAGGAAGAACTTGGAGTACCGGTTTAAAGCATTTACAGGAGATCTCAGCTCTGGTCAGATGTACAGAAGAAATCGTGTCCCGAAAATCTAGTCATTGTTTACCAGTGTAGAATTAAAAACTCAAGGATAGTGATGAAAAGTGCTTAAATGGGTTAGCATTGTATGTGAAAACTCTGGCCAATAAGGTTCATACTGCAGTTGTTCTATGAAAGGTGCTAATGGTAAAAATTGCTGATGTTAGATAAATTAATATTCCTTAATTCATATTCCATAATTCACGAAAAAAAAATCGTAATATCACATGATAACTGATGATGGATGATTTGAAATGAGTAACTGTTGCTCAGTAAATTTTACTATGTTTCTATTGGCACTGATGCATTGCAGGTTACCTAAAGATGCACATTCATGCTGCCTGCAGCTGCAGCATGGGCACCAGTTTATTTTATTATTTTTTTTTTTGGACTTTATGAACTTATATAACGGTATATGTATTTACTTTTGTTTGATCAACATATATTTCAGTCCGTCCACATTACATGTATAAACATGGTGTTTTGTTTTAATGTTAATTTAAATTCAGATAAAATTTTGTCAAACAAAATCAATCCCCTGTGTTGAGTTGTCAATCATGCCTCAGACGTAAATGTATTATCCGATGGTAGAGACTGAAACAAAGAAAGTTTTCCTTTGTGTTCATCTTTCAGAAATATTTTAATATTTACCGACTTCTTTATCAGTTCCTCGAAGTCTTAATATGAAATAAAGAAAAAATATTTATACATGTCTTCAAATACTGCACATTTTTGAACGAGCAATATGCAATACACGATCTTGATTCACGTAAAGAAGTTAGACCTAGCTCTTTTCTGCATGAACCCCCCCCCCCTCCCCTCCCCCACACATATACAGTCCCTGAAATGTTCTACTTTCCCACTTGAACGGTGAACGAACGCTGAACGAACGCAGAGCGAACAATGAGTGAACGCTGAACACAACTTGGTGAACGGTGAGCGAACGCAGAACGCGAGCGCAAAGTGAACGGTGAACGCAAGATGAACGATTTATTCGGAATGCTTCTGATCTTTTTCTTGCATTGTATCTATTCTATTGTATTCTCGTGTCTAGCGCAAAAAAGTAAATAAATAAAAATAAATAAATAAATAATTATTCCAAAATTTTCCTAAGAAAGAAGAAACAATCACATTAATTAAAACTATTAATTTGGTTTCTCACAATATTTTCTGCATATATGTACATGTATGGTGTTTAAATTCAGCTGTTTTATCACACGATTTTTATCGCTGTAAAACATTGTAATTGTTACCGAACGCTGGAGTTTAAAAGATAAAATTATTCTAGTTGTAAAATAAATATGTTTATTCTTATTTGATTTATAAAACCATTACAATTAATAATTTTCGAAAAGGAAATTACTAACTTATAGAATGAACTACAACGGTTGTAACAACCATACATGTTTTTCCATGCCAAGGCGATTCCGTGTAAAATAATGAGAAAAAAATTTAAAAAATTTCACAAAGGTCTGTGGACGTATTGCATAAATAGACTCGTATTTTAAAAACTAAATGCAATGATATATTTATGTATCTTCATTTTTATCTTTATTTTTATTCAGCAGACTTCCACATGTATCTGTAGACAATTCCGCGTGATTATACTCGGACAAGATGATACAAAGAAGCATTCCTATTATTTGTTATAGATTAAATTTTCAGAACTTGATATTTAAGCAATATGCTGCCATAATTTTGAATAAACGGACAAACAAGAGAGAGAGAGCGAGAGAGATTCCGTTTTAGCCCCCACCCCCTTCCCCAAATGCATGTACGTGTACCTGTATCAAACAAAAATTCTTAATTTTTTTTTTTTTTTTGGTAAATATATCAGGCAGTGAAAATAACCATTATTTTTAATCAACAAATTCCTTTGTTTGACAGTCATGATCGGTTTTTATTTTCCTGCTTCAAGTTCAAACGAAGTTCACGTGCTTGTCCTGTCAAACAAAATCATTCGACCTGTGTAGGTTGGAGAGTCTCGTCACACCAAAGGCGAAATGCTATACACTGTAGTATTTCCAAGAAGTTTTAACATTTTTTTTTATCAATTCTAGATCTGATTCCAACTTTTCTAAAATAAATAAATAAAATTCATTGGGCATAAACACTTGGAATGAAGCCGCGTGAATTTGAAACATACTCCCTGCCAATTTAAAACACCAACGCCGGTGTAACGACGAAAAGTGACCCCTGTAGAATATTGACCAGGGGGACAATTAAATTTCTACGTAGAAAAATGATCCTGGGCCAATATTCCATGACAAGTAAGGTCATTTTTCGACCGTACAAAACCCTTCAAGGCCGGTAATTCTGCGAATCCTCTCACGTTGAAAAATGACCCCCATAGAAATCTGACCCCCCCCCCCCACTTTTTCACAATATTAAATAATAAAACCTGTTTGGAAACCTTTAGAAATGAGATATGATACGCGTTAATTTTTTCCCCAAGAAAATTTCAACATACATGTGGACGGGTGAGAAAAGAAAAAAATGTTTTGTTTTCTGGAGGTAAAAAAAAATTGACTCGGGCCATTTGAGCCAGTCGGTCGGGAGAGGGTTAACAGACATTTTTTAAAGATGGCCTTGGCTTGTCTCCAAATCAGGCACTGCAGTTACAAAATTCTAACGTTTTCTACCTTCTTCCCCAGTTCTTTTCATAATTTAAGGAGGAATGCCAAACCAAAATTTTATTTAATAGATATTTAAGATATCCCTTTTAAACTATGGTTGCAGCATTGAAAGACTGGCGATTTTTTGGGGTATTTTTTCTGAGGAAATGAAAAAAAAATGTTTTATTTGCAAAGTTGCTTATTAAAAAAAAATCAATTTGTTGTAAATCGGAAAACTCTTTCACTCATGTACACAACCTTTCTCAGACCCCAACTAGAATATGCTTCCTTGGTGTGGAGTGAATGTAATGTAGGCGATAGCGAAAAATTAGCTCTTAACTCTATTAGCTTCTAAAGATGCACTATACTTTGAAACTGGATGGGACCCAATTCTTGAAAGAAGAAAAAATACTAACTACAATGTATAAAATTTATATTAACCAAGTTCCTGAATATCTAACTGATGTAATCCCAAATTTGGGTTGTAATTCATCAAGTTACAGTACGAGAAATTCATATAACTATAACATACCTAAATGCAGATTGCAAACATATATTCAACTTTCTCTCTCCCCCCCCCCCTCCCTTGTTATTGACGAATTGAACTCATTACCTCTTATTGTAAGAAATTCTTCCTCGTTGTCTATCTTTAAAACGTCCATTTCTTACAATAAACCTATGCCACCCTCTTATTTCAGTTACGGAATTCGACGCTTAAATATATTACATACAAGGCTTCGACAAAACTGTGTGCTTAATAGCGATCTTTTTCGATGTAATGTAATTTTGAGTCCCCTATGTTCTTGTGGAAGAGTGGAGGATACTCATCACTATTTTTTTCATGCAAAAAATATACAGAGGCCAGAAAAGAATTTTTTGACACATTTCTGCGAATGGGAAAATTACATACTGTTGATACTCACACTTTACTGTGGGGAGATGAAACGTTAAACGATGTTGAAAATGAATACCTATTTTCCATTAAATGTACAAACATTTATTAAAAAGTCAGGTTGTTTTGGTTGATACAATTATTACTTTTTACGAATTCTATACAGCTTGTGTATTATATAAGAAGTATATTATTATATTGAATATTGTTCCTCTGATTATTATGCTTTTCTGTGTTTATTTATTTTAAGCTGAAACCAATATATGTAAATATGTTTGGTATAATTTATATGTAGGGAAAGGGCGTATTAAGTTTTTAGAATTTTTGCCCAATTCCATTAGTAAAGTTGATAGACAATAAAATACGTTTAAATCAAAGATGCTGTATGGTTTAGAATTTGCTATTAATAAATGCATAATATGAATGTCTAATAAAATGTGTAAAGAGAGGTTGAACAGACATTTTAATTTTTTAAATTAAATATTATTTATGAATATAAAACACATAATTTGTAAATATTTTTTGTACCTATGGATAAAATCTTCATAAAACTAGTCACAACTAGGGAGAATATGTTAGTCAATCATATTTTAAAAAGAAATTAAAATGAAATTGCTAAATTTAAGGGAAAATAATTATTTTAATATTTGGATCAATCCCGAACAAAATGAAACTGATCCCGATCAAAATTAACACAAATAAAATAATAATTATCGTCCTCTTTATGTATTTACCTCTAAGAAATCTATTTGATCGTCAATTAAGTTCAATTACCTTTTAATCCGTATTACACCTAAACAAACTAGTATACTTGCGAAAATGTAATCTATTTCCAATTATTACAAAATTCTGGTTGGGATCACAGGTGCTTGAGGACAGGACCCCCCCCCCCTCGATATAGACCCCCGGGCCTGTTCGACTTTTTTCTAATAAATTATACATGGATGACCCATCTGTGATATAATCTCTATATCATCAATTCGGAAAATTGACTTAAACAAACATTTTTTAAAAGTTACTAGCCTACCCTGATTTATATATAGAGAGTGTGGTAGATTTTATAAAATGTTTGTTTTAGGTAATTTTTCGAATTGTTGGTATAGATTATATCACAAATATGTTTTTGAGAGATAATTTATGAGAAAAAAAGTCGAAAAGGCCCGGGGGTCTATATATATCGGGGGGGGGGGGGGGGTTCGTGTCCTCAAGCACCTGTGGTTGGGATCAGTTTAAATTTCGATCGGGATTGGCCAAAATCAAAAAAATTTTTTTTTAATAAAATTTGGCATTTTCATTTTAATTTCTTTTTAAAATATGATTGTCTAGCATATTCATTGTAGCTGTGAATTGTTTTTTTTTTTGTTGTTGTTGAATATATTATCCATAGGTTTCGAAAATATTCACAATTACTGTGTTTTATTTTCATAAATATTTTTTTTAGTAAAAAAAAAAAATTAAAATGTCCAACTTGCTTTTGTTTACATATTTTATTAGATATTCATTTTCTACATTTATTAATAGCAAATTTTTATTTCTAAAACATCTTATTTGCAAATAAAATCTTTTTTTCATTTTCTATGAAAAATTGGGGAAAAATCTTATAAAATAATTGAGAGCTAATATTGGCCTTTTAATGTTGAAACCATAGTTTCAAGGGGATGTCTTAAAGATATATGAAAAAAAAATTGATGTGGCATTCCTTCTTATATTCTTCCTTCAGACTTAGAATTAAATGCTTACTTCAAGTGTTTACAATTTATAAACTTTATCTCGATAATGTTATGTACAGTACATGTAGATTGAGGAGGATTCCTATGCGCAACAGAGGCAACTTACATACTAGATCAAATAAAGGATATTTATAGACCTCCTCTCTGCATGTGGATAATTTAGGGCATTAGCCGCACATCTTTTTTTCATAACGGTACAACAAATAATATCC